ATCGCGGCATCGGCAGCGCTACCCACCCGGGGCCCTACCGCCTACTAGTCCCTTGCACTTTTTCCTGCGAAAAAGAGACGCCTACTTCTCCTATTATAGGGGCAAAAACGGGGTTGGGCTATTAGGTTAGGGCTAGAAAACCTCATAGAATTTCGCCCCTGGGGGTGAAATAGCTATGTGCCTGCGCTACTCATACTTTCGCCCCTAGGGGTGAAATAGCTATGTGTCTGCGCTGCTCATACTTTCGCCCCTGGGGGTGAAAGTGGCCGTGAGCCTGCGTGCCTGCGCTGCTCACACTTTCGCCCCTGGGGGTGAAATAGCTATGTGTCTGCGCTGCTCACACTTTCGCCCCTGGGGGTGAAAGTCGCCGTAAGCTTGCGTGCCTACGCTGCTCATACTTTCGCCCCTGGGGGTGAAAGTGGCCGTGAGCCTGCGTGCCTGCGCTGCTCATACTTTCGCCCCTGGGGGTGAAAGTGGCCGTGAGCCTGCCCTGCTCACTCTCGCCCTAGTCTCCACCCGACGCTAACCTACTAATCCTACCGTGTCCTTCCGCCTCTTAGAGTAAAAAGTAGAAACTACCGACTAGCTTCCCTTTCTATTCTATTCCTCACTCCCTTCGCCCTCTACTCCGTATAAACTATTTCTGACTCTTATACCGCGTACTACTCGCTCTCCCCGCTATGAAGCGCTCAATTAATATTCCCCCTAAGCCTCAGCGGCCGGCTAAGGCAGCCCGTGTAGTCGATAAACCACGGGCTACCGTACGCACTACAGAGTCGGTGCGTCAACAAGCGCGTGCCCACCTGCTCGCGATTGCACGGTTACCAGTCGATCTTCTCCAGACGGAATGGCGCTCTGGCCAGAACCGCCCCCTCGATCATGCCCATGTCCAGGACTTATATAAGGCGTTCGAGAAGGGCGGCGTAGCCCGCGACTCGGTAGAGAACCACCTATTCGTCGCTTGTAGTCATGAAACGGCTAGAAAGCTACAACAAGCCTCGTCGGCTGCCGGTAGTAACGATCTCTCTGCCGATCAGACCACGCAGGATACTATCCCATGCTTCACGTACCCACGCCAAGAGCACGTAAAGGTAGAGCTCGAGCTCATGGCAGGCCAGCATCGTGTCGCGGCGCTCCGAAAATTCGTGCGAGAGAAACATCTCGACTCGAGCGAGCTTTGGTGGACGTGTGAGCTCTATAACAAAGGTACGCGTTAGCCTCTCCGAAGTATATATACAGCTAATTATATATAGATACCTTACCAGCAATGCTGAATACGAAGCTACGCGCAAACCGCCGCGAGCTCTCGCTACCCGATAGCCATGGCCAGATCTGGGCGCAGCTCGTGGCTACCTCGAAGAAGGATCCTCTACTCTTTAACGGGAGGAAAGAAGACGTCGAGGCCCGTATTCTCGACGTGCTCCAGCTCAGCGGCAACCCGCGATTCCCCGCCAGCCGCCTTATTACGCTCTGGCAAAACGAAAGGTGGAAGCCCGTTATCACCCGTATATGTCAGACAGCCGTCGGCCGCGACCTCTTCAATATATCTGTGTGGGAATGGCTTGCGAGCCGCCGGATCGATAATGTAGGTTGATCTCGATGCTTGTCCTTGGAGGCGCGCGCTGATGGGGTAGTATTGGTTCGACGCGCTCGAGTCTGTCCACGCGACACTGCGGTTACTGCCTGCCGGCGTGGAAAGGCACCTCCGTGGAATAGACTGGGACCGCCTGGCGTAAGCCTTCCCCTCCAGCGGCCCCCGGGCGGATCTCCACGACCTCTTCTACCCGGCGAAGGGCAAGAAGCAAGCGGCTGGTGAAGGAAAGCGTCGTTCGGACTTCCTTCGCGAACTCTCCGAGGAACAGTACGCGGCTCTCTACCGCTCGCTGCAGGAGAACCGTGCTATCGTCTTCCCTAATATACGCCGCGTGCTACAGATCAGTAAAGAAGACGGCGGGATATTGCGACAAGTCCTAGGCCATGTTATCCTCTGGCTTAATCCAGAGGCAACCGCGCTCTCGGATAGTCGTAGGATCAACAAGCCACTACTGCGAGAGGATATAAAGCCAGCCCTCGCGCGCCTTCGCCCGCTCGAGAGGGAAGAGATTAGCGCGACCGACGCGTCTGATCTCTCCGATAGCGCCGACACGCGCCGGTCAAAACACACAGACACGCTCTCGATCGATCTCGAGCGGCAGGTCCTGGCCCTGGCCAGGACCAGGATACACGAGCTGAAGGAGCCAAGCGCGCAGGCTACCTTAGTTCCTTTCCCAGACGCCGAGGCCCTGGCTAGTCCGAGCTACGCGGATAGGTTCCGCCAGCCGTTCTGGTCCGCCCTCCTATCGCTCGTCCGCGAGTTCACGCGCTCGAACGTCCGTCCAGACTGGACGCTAGCTATCGCGCAACGACACGAGCCCCTCGAAGTAAGAATTCCCGGTCTCGCGCGGCAACTCACGAGCATCGTACAGAGCCAGCCGAGTATTGTATCCCACCTAGACCTTAGTAGCCCGACGTCGCTCGAGCTTCTGTCCGGTATCCTCGGTGACGCCGTGGCATAGTGGGCCGCTAGCCATAGGGCCTATGTTAACACCGAGATTACGACGCCAGCCACTCTCACCACCGAACAGCGTACGCCGTCGCCCCCCGGGCCCGACGCGTCATTAGTTCAGGACGCGAGCCGAGGTACTTCCCCTGGCGCGTATGAAACGGCTCGGACGCAGCGAACCGTAGCACCACGTCGTCTATCACTTAGCAAAGGTACGAGCGCGGGCGTTATCCTTACGTCTTCCCAGTCCTCTCAGCAAGACAACGAGCAATATACCGCGCGGACTTGTCGAGCCGCGAGTATAAAGGAAGGACGAGAAGAGGTACGAACCGAGCGCTCTCCGATGGTGCCAGAGAGCTCTAGGCAACCTAATCCTCCGCCTAGGCTAGCCCGCCCTAGTCTTACTGCAAGGATACCCCTGCCTAGCGCGTCGCGTCCAACGCCCGCCTGGAAGTCTGGTATGAAGGCGTCTTCACGTAGATAATTACCCTATACTCTATCGTCTTCCTTTTCTATCTATTGATAGATATAAATAAAAGGTAGTATAAGGGACTTACCTTAATAATCGTTTATAGTAAATTTATTTTATATAGATTATTTATCTTTATCGTATACTATAGCTATATTTATTCTCTAGTATTCCGATTATATTATTATACGTGCCTTAAGTATTTATATTCAGGTAGTATGCCGAATTAGTCTTACTTCTTCCTCGACTAAGATTAAGGAAATATATCCCTATTATAGACCCCACTTTTAGAATTATCCACAGGGTAGTGCTTATACCCCTGTCCCTAGCTTATATTCTCAATAGCTAGGATTATAACGACAAGGTATAATAATACCTAGTACCTTGTACACTATGGAGAAGTACTTCCTTACCCCTAACTCAATGCTAGGGTAGGGCTACGTATACTAACCCGTGGTGAACGAATGTATATAGAACTATTAGTTAAATAATATATCTAGTCTCATCTCTTCTTAATCCGCCTCCTCCGCTGTGATAATCGTCATAATGTCTTTAACACCACGGACATCCCTCCCTAGGCAGCGCCGCCACGACTCGCCCGCTCACGCGGTACGGAACGTGGCGGACACGGAGGGCGATGTAAGCGAGGTCGAAGAGTTATGCTACGACACAGACGAGCACGAGGAGATCCCCGACGATATAGCGGCTACGTCGAGGGAGACTCTCTATCTCCAAGACGAGCAACGCAACGTCGCCCTGCTTTCGACGCGCCCCGAGCCGTCCTCTACTCTTTAGAAGGTTAACCATGCCTTAGGCGACCATAAACTCCGGTGTAAGAGTGCCCCCCAGCCCTCCTGCTATAGGAGACTCTGATTAGATTCCGCAGGCGACGACTTTACTAAGCGGGTTATGGACCCCGAGTTCGACGGGCCACGCGCGCTCGAGTACCTCCAGCGTCGATACACACTCGACTACGGTAGCAAGAGCTGCCATAAGAATAAGAAGACGCGTCTAGGACCTGCGAGCAAGGACGACGACTACTACCCGAAATTCTACCTCGATTTCCTGTGTATTGTCGGCCGCCCGCTACAAGTTGTGTCGTGTTAGAGCGACCGCCTATTCGATAGAGTGACCATCTCCTTCCGTAACTGGAGTGCCTCGTATAGCGACAAGCACGGCGCCGACCTTGGCTTCGACTTGGAACAACGTACCTTTCGATTCGCTACCGCCGGAACACGTGATGCCTGGTTTATCGTGATGCATCCGAGGCAAGCGGTGCCTATGCCTAGCACGACGCGCGACAGGGCCCGGCGTAGTACCGCACTGTCCCGCCGCCACGCCGAGTTACTCGGGGAGTATATAAAGCAGGTCTTCCACGACGGCCGCTTACTCGGCGAGGGCGTCGAGGACTCCTGGACCCTTGGCGGGGACGCCGCGCAAGACATCGCGTATAACACGTGGGCGACCTTCCAAGAGCTCTTTATAGCGGACTAGCCTACGTTCATACTCGACCACAACGACGACCCCTTCTGGTCCGAAAATCAGCCGGCTTTCCACGCATACGACTACGGCGCGAACATTGAGATTGAAGCTACGTCCGAACTCTGGAGCATCCCGGCGATCACGCGGCTACGGGCACCCGACGAGAGCGAGTACGAAAGCGAGGACGAGAGCGAGGACGAGAGTAACGACAGCGGTCACAATCATACAAACCACGCGAACGATCTCGATCACGACACGAACTCCCGTTCGCATCATAGCAGTACCCCGGCCCCTAATATAGCCCAGGACGACCAAGGCAGCACACCGAGCCCGACCCTTAGAGTGATTGACTCGTTATGCAAGCAGCTCGGGGAGAAGTACAGCCCCGCGAGCATCGAGTCGATCTCGTACGCGGTCGCCGTGAATATCCACTACGCGACGGAGGACAGCGGCGTGGACCAGACGCTCTGCCTCCTCGCCGACCGGAACCGCGTGGCTAGAGAGTATAGGGGCACCCGCGACTATACCTTCTACCCAATGGCGTTCCACCCGGCATACGGGAACTTCTCGTCTCCCGAACCGCCGGCATTCCTCGACAACAAGCTCTTCGCCATCATACAAGATAACATAAGCTACGAGAACGATGGCGGCGACGTCGTCTCGTTCGGGTTCTTCCAGGCATACTCGAACCTGAAGCGCACGTTCCGGCACCGCGCAGACGACCTCCTCGCGAGCCAGGGCGTCGCCACCGCCGCTCTAACAGTGCCCCGCAGCGACGTCGACCAGTCGGCACGGACGGCCGACCGCTAGGCCGCCCTGCTACGGCGACTGCAGGGCGATGCTACGCCCCACGACCGGCAGAGCTCTATCCCCTTTACCCGTGAGGCGAGGCGCGTGCAGGCGGCGCTCGACCAGGACGAGTTTGCCTTCCGCCTCGAGCAGGTGGTGACGGTGCGCCTGACCCAGCTCGTCCCCGAGCGGCGCACGTTCCCCCGCGTCCTCGAGCCTATCGGCCAGATCGCCCAGTACTTCCTCGCCGAGAGGGAGGACTACCTAGCGATCCTTCGCCGCTTCCCCCCGACCGTCTTCCCCACAGTCCTCGTCGCCTTCGCCCGCCTCTTCTACCTAGCCCTCGAGGAAATGAGGAAGAGGTTCGAGGACGGCTGCCGCCAGGGCCTCGGACTCGCCCTGTCCGAGGGCACGGCGGCTCTCGATAGGCTCGGAGCCTTCTGCTTCACGGGAGACCCGCGCGTGCTGCCGGTCCGCGTGTTCCGGCCCCTAGGGACGATGCAGAGCCTCCGCCAAGGGGCGTGGCCGTTTATCGACCCCGCCGCGCTCGACCTACAGAAGCCGGCCGGCTCGATCCATATCCAGACGTGGCCCAAGCGCGACGGTCGGCCCCTCCTGCTGCACGTAGCGGCCTTGGCGTACCGCTACGGCCCGACCGTCGGCGCGCACCGCCATAGCCAGCTCTAGTTCGCGGAGCTCGGGGGCCGCAACATTAACGGCCTCTCGGCCGCGTCGACCTTCCTAAACGACCTATTCACCGACTTATGGATACAAGAGACACGGACATTCATAGCCACCGCGCGCCACCGCGCACTCCGGAAAGGCGCGCGCTCGGGCAGGCGCAGCCCCGCGGACGAGCCCACCATCGCCCTCCGGGCGTGGGAGCGGTGCGACGACCCGTTCTCCTGGAGGTAAGTAGGCGCCCTTTCTTCGGTCCAGGCCGCGCTAACGTCAATAAAGACAATTCGTCTCCCTCGACCTCGACTCGACGCCGCCGGAGAAGATCCGCAATATAACCCGAGACGACCTTGCGCGGGATCTCTATAACGCCCTCACCAACGATAACAAACGGTCCGCCGGTCCCTTCGCGCAAAAATACGCGACGTGGCCCGCTATACTCAAGGCGGCCCTCCAGCATACCGACGTACGCGTCGTGACCAGGGCACAATAGGTCAACGCTATCGCGCTCGCCATACGGCGCAGCGACATCGAGTGGTGCCCGGGGCAGCACGGGACCAGCATCACCTACAAGCATGTTATACGTCTCCAAGGGAGCACGCGGCCCACACCCGCGCTACCGTATCGTAAAGGGAGCTCTAAGCGCGCCGCGATCGAGGCCGAGCACAGGATCCTCGAGGGTAGCGTCCGGAAGAGGGCGCGCCGGCCGACGATCAGTTTCAACCAGCCAATCCCGTTCACTTACGTGCCGACGACAGTCATCGCGGGCTTCAAGATAGCCTTTCGTCGTGCGGAAACTGAGGCGATCAAAGGGCACTACCAGCTAGCGCTCGACACGCTCACGTCCTGCCTAGGCGAGCCTATCTACGACTTAATGCTCATGATCGCGCTCACCCATGCGGCCTCAACAGAGACGCCATAGGTGAAGTCCGGGGGGACCGAGTTCATAACGCACAAGGTGACTAGGGAGTCCCCGTATTTCGCGGCGAACCTAATCACGCGTATGCTCTAGTACTACCGTCCGAACGCGTTCCCCTAGGATAAGGACGAGGGCAATATCATGTCCGTTAGGGAGATAACGAAGAAGATGGAGCATAAGGGCGTGCATAACCGGTACCTAGTGCTTCTTGGTTAGATCTGGGCTATAAGCAGGCGCCCTAACCCGCGCAATAAGGAATCAAAGCTTGTTCCGGAAGACAAGCTCCTCGAGTACCGTAAAGAGCTCTTATACTTACGGAGAGAGCCCGGCCAGTTCATTGACCGCGTCTTCTGCACCAGCAATAGCGCGTGGAGGGACCGCTGTCTATCACTTCTTAGGGATCCATCAGTGGACGATTAAGTCCCACGCCGGAGCCCAGTGCGGCTATCTAGTGCGTAGTGCTGGTAGAAATAATATTGAATTTGCTCTAATATATTAATATCCACAACAGCGATTACTACAGCACACGCATAGTCGGCCAATAGCGCTGCCTTCTCGCTGCTTGCCACGCTGCTTATTCGCTGCTTTCTTACTTTGACACGGACGGGGCTCTCACCCTCTATGGCGTCCCGTTCCAGGGAACTCCGTTATGCTTGCCTCGCCACTTGCCACGCTGCTTGTTCGCTGCTTTCCCGCTTTAATACGGATCGTCCCTCGTTATTTATATTCATTCAGGGGTATCGCTCCTTTCCATAGAGGTACCACCCTCATTCTCAGGAATACGCACTCCCTCCAGGGGCATTACCCCCTATTCGGTTATTTATACAGAAGCATAGCCTTCTATATCGCAAACGCTCACATAGGTATATGCTTAGTGAGCGCTGCATCCCCTGTGGAAGCAAGTCTGTCTATACCGCACTCGGTTACAGCGGAGAAACCTTCCGTAACCTTGGCTAGTGGCACTATTTATTTCCGCCTATTGGCGAACACACAGCGACTTAGAGGGCTGTCACGCTGGTCGTGCAATTGTACAGAGGCTTTAGTCACTATTAGTTAAGAGATTCAGAGGAAAGTCCCTCGATCACGTACACTAATAGCGCCTTCTTCCTCTATCACAATGCCCTCCCAGCAGTCGAACCAACTAAGTAACCGCTAGCCAACGCTCCACAGCGTTAACTCTATACTATAGTAGTTACAGCAGCACACACAAAGACTACTATATGGGGCTGTCACCCTCTATGGCGCCCCATTCCAGGGGACTTAGCTGATCTAATGTGCGCTGCCTTACTGCCACATAGTTCGCTACAGGGCTTGCCAGTCCCTGATTCCCGTTGACTCAGAAGGTCTTAATTAAACATAGGCCATTCAATTACTCTGCGCAGCTAGTCACAAAGCTATATGGGACAACAACATTGGATTAGACGAACATTCAGGGGCTTGAGCCACTGGCTCGGGCCCCCTCATATGCCTTGCGCCCTCGATGTATCTAATCGTTCGCTACACCGGGCTGGGTGGCCCATTTCTGAGTTCCGATAAAATCATTTATATGTGTTTTTTTTCAAATCGACTCACGGCCACATAGCCATGCCGGCGATCTATCAACCTTTTTATTTATAATGCTAATGCTCTCCTCACTCTTAGTAGCGGTGGTGGTAGTAGTGCTATCGGTAGTAGTGCCACCCTGAACTCTTAGTAGCGGTAGTAGTAGTAGTACTATCGGTAGTAGTGCTAGCTTGAACTAGTTAAGAACTAATTCGGAAACGGTTATTAATTAATCACTTATCTAGAAGTCATTATCTTACCTAGGCAAGATACTAGCGGCGCGGCGCTCTATAGCACTAGTGCTACTATAACCTAATACCCCCTAGGCACTTAGCTTAATACTTAATAGCGGGGCGAGCTATTTTTTATTACTTATTACTAAGATACTTATTACTTATTAATAATAAATACGCTTAAAAACTGATTACTTATTACTTAATACCTAGATACTTATTACGTAATACTTATAAACTTATTACTTATTACTTATATATTTATCACTTAATACTTATAGAGGGAGTAAAAAAATTTAATTATCAGAATTAATCCTAAATTAATTCTAAATTAATTCTAAACTACTTCTAAACTAAAAATATATGGTAAATATCTCTAATTTATTAAACTCTATATCTATATCTATATCTATAGCCTTAAGACTATTAGGGCTACGTTACTCCTCCTCTCCCTCTTCCCTCGCGTAATCTTTTTCGTTATTATTATTAGTATTATAATATATATTAAAAAAGGCTATAATTTATATTAGCGTTATTATAAGTAATAGCGGTTATATAGTGTATAGTATAGCGTATAATATAGCCGGTAGTATAGTACGTAAATAATTATATATAATGGGTACGTAATGATTAATTAATAAATTTAAATTAAATATACTTATTTAGGTAGCCTTTGTTAAGCTACCTTAGTACTTAAAAGAATTATCTTTCTTTTACTATATAATCTACCCTTTATATATTACATTATTACTCTTTATTAAAAATAAAGTATTACTCTTTAATACTCTTATTATTCGTACTAATATTATTAGTATTAAGAGTACCGCTACCTTAAATTAATTAAGAACTAATTTAGATATAGCTAATAGTTAGTTACTTACTTAGATATTATTAAGAATAGATTTAATAAAGAGAGTAAAAAAGTATATAAGGTATAAGTACGCGGCTAAGTCGCCGCGAGGTAGGGGGTGACTAGTAACTATATTAATCTCTTACTCTTCCTTAAAATATATTATAATTATAAAGACTTTTTCCCTTAGTACGCTCTCGTGCGCTTTTACGCACGTAACTTAATTAAGGTTACTTATATTATACTTAGTTATAAGATTAATAATCCCTAGCCACTTTATAGCTTATAATAACCTCTATATATAATATATATTTAATAAATATTATTACTCCGTTCTTCCTCCTCCTCTTTAATAACTTTATTATTATTACTCTTATTATTTCTATTACTTAAAATAATATCTTTATAATAAATAATTATATAAACTTAGTTAGGGCTTGGGTTTTAGGGTTAGCTAGGGTTAGCTAGGGTTAGGGTTAGGGTTAGGGTTAGGGTTAGGGTTAGGGTTAGGGTTAGGGTTAGGGTTAGGGTTAGGGTTAGGGTTAGGGTTAGG